TGAATAGGTCAATCAAAATTCTTACCAGGTTTTAATCAAATATTTTTCAGTCATCTTAAAAAAAAAAATTGAATCAACTAATTATAAAGAAAAAGTATGCACTGTTTGTTTCGATGAGATGTATATAAAAGAATTTATAGAATATTCCAAAGAATTTGATTTCATTGAAGGTTTTGAAGACTAGGTCAATATGGCAGGACAAATAAAAGTGCTAACTGTGTTCTGGTGTTTATGGCTCGAGGTATTTATTCACCGTGGAAATTTCCAGTCGCCTTTTTTCTTTCTCATTCTGGTGTTGACAAAATCAATTTCAAAAATTTAATAATTGACGTCCTTAAAAATTTATTTGAAGTAGGATTGTGTCCAAAAGTTGTTGTTTGCGATCAAGGCACAAATAATCAAAGTACTTTAAAATCATTAAATATTTCAGAAGATAGCCCATATTTTTATGTTGATAATAATAAAATATTTTCTATATTTGACGTTCCACATTTAATTAAAAGTGTAAGAAATAATTTAATTGAAGCCTGTTTTATTAAAGGTGATATTATAATCTCATTTGATGACATAAAAAAATCTTATGAGTGAGACATAAAAAAATCATAAAAGTAGGTCTCTCATTAAAATAACAGATGCTCATATTTATCCAAATTCTTTTCAAAAAATGCGTGTTAAATTAGCCACACAATTACTAAGCAATTCAATGTCAGCAACAATCCGAACTTGCATACAAACAGGACAACTTCTAAATAGCACTGCTTCAAACACGGCAGATTTTATTAAGTTCATTAATAATTTATTTGATTGTTTAAATAGCCGGTCTTTATATAGCCATAATCTACTCGTATATCTCTGCGCATTAACTGATTCAGGTACTGTAAAACATTTTTTATTAGAAGCTTCGCAATACTTCACAGATTTACATAAATTAAAAAACTGAAAATTAACACAACCCTATTTTAAAGGTTTTAAGCAGACCATGGTGTATTGCAATTTTTTGAAGAAGAAAAATCTAATGCTATAGTATTTTTAATGACCAACCGTTTGAATCAGGATGTATTAGAAAATCTTTTTAGTATTTTTCGACAAAAGGGTGGTTATAACAAGAATCCAACAGCCAGAGCGATTAGGATTTCGATAAGAAGTAATTGTATTTTTTCTTTATGCACATCTACTAGAACAAATTGTGAGAAACTGTTGAAAAACTGAGTAATTTCGGTAAAATCTGTAAAATTCCGCCGTAAACGGATTTAATCATATCATTTAAAATAGTAAATCATTAGGTACAAGTGCTAGGAATTAAATATCAATAAAATGTATAAATAACTCTGACCACAATGGCGCAATGCAATACTGAGTTATGAGCACCCGTAGCCCGCCCCGCCCAGTGCGGCAGCCCTCGACGCTCGTTCTGTATTTATCTATACAGATTGTAAAATAATTATTTTTTCTATTATAGAACGCATTCTATCGGCAGCTAGAACAAACATAATTATAGTAGCCTAATATCTCTATACCATGGACTATCTATCTATTCTATAATCAATGCTAATATTATTTCTAACAATCAGGAGCATATATCTCCTGAAACTCTATCTAATTTAATCGAGTCATCTCTTGTCAATATCCTATGCAATCCGATCTTAGGATCGGATTCCTAGTTATTTCCTATCCTCATGTCTAGTATCAACGATTCATCCAACATTCTTCTTACTATCCTTCAATGGAATACCAGGAGCCTTTCTGCACGTCTAATAGATATTCCGCATATATTTTCATCTAACTCAGTTTCAGTTTCCCTCTTTTCAGAGACATGGCTTCTTCCTCATAGACGAATTAACATTCTTGGTTATCGTCTAGTTAGCGACGATAGACCTGATGGCTATGGTGGCGCCGCCATTGCTATTAAAAATTCCATCAAGTTTCGAGTGCTTGACATCAAACCTGTATTATATCAGCTACTTGCTAGTTATAACATTAACCTAGTGGGAGTGAAAATCCTACGTAACAATAACCCGGGATTGGAATTCTGGTCTTGTTATATTTATTAATATTGTTATATTTATATATATTGATTCCTCTTTCAACCGACAATGCTAATATAATCAAACATACGTTAAATTTTATTCTGCAATCAGGCTTCCGAGTTTAAGAATGTGAGCTTTACAAACCTTAATTTATTTCAGATTCATGTACATAATTGTCAAGATATCATAATGTAACGTTAAAATCTCATTAAAAAAAAAAAAAAAATTTCTTATTACATATAATTTTATATAAATATAGTTTTTTAACAGCGAAACTTGTGTAATTTTACAAATAGATATAACTATTTAATATGAACTCAGTTGAATTTTAAGTATACTTTATTTCATAATATTCAATACATAAGTTCAACAAGACGATCTATAAATTTTTTATATTTATCATTCATCAAATAATAAATAATAATGAATATAGGCTGTAAAAATTACGGTGTTGCGCTGGTGGCCGACGTCGACACAAGTTATTTTTGATTTTGGTCAAAATAATAATTAAAAGATGGGGAAAACATGCACAATTTAATTATTAATTAATATAATATATTATGTTGTATTTATTATTTTGTTAATGATTGAAAATGGGTGTTGCTTAGTTTTTCCAACGGAATGTTTGATTTTAACAATGCTTTGCATAAAACTTTGTTAAAATCAGATTTTCGTGATGATAGAGTTGTAATAAGCGGTTACGTTGTACTATTTTTTTTTAGCTTGACGATTAGCAATTCCAGCATGTTTCTCAGTTTTTAAATGCTGAGTTACGTAAAAACGTTTGTCACTGTTCACCTTTATTTCGCACATTTTACAAAATAAAACAACTCCATCGGATGCAAATATTTGTTCACTAAATTCGGCCACTTAACTGTATATTCTATTAACTAAGACAAAAAAAATAAAATAAACTATAAATTCGATTCGTCTCGACTTTTGGCATTTTAAAATTAATAGAAACCGATAAAAAAAAAAAAACCACACGACTAAACCTTGTGCTCGGACTCTCAGACCGTTTTTGTATCGTGCTGTCACGACAATCGCGACAGTCATTAAATCATACTATGAATACTTGGAATTACCTACTAAATGCTTCCCCAAACAATAGTTCTTCGGATCTGTCATCAGAGTATTCAAGAATATAAGGATTGTCAATTACTCAAGGTTTTAATTTAATTTAGCTAGAAGTATTACCAGCTTATCGCCTATCGGGATGTAAAGTAAGTAGTAGTAAGTAGTAACTGCACAATATTAAATTATTAGAGTACGACCTATAATTTCAAACAGGTTTTTATTTTATATTGGCGACGTTTTTATAAAGACATATTTATTAACAAATATATTATGAAATATACTCAAAGCCCGAAATTTTCATGAAACGTTAATAAAAAAAAATATATATGGCAAGTAAAATGCAATTTTATTCAAAAATATGCACATTTACGTAAAAAACCTCAAAATATGCGAAAATATGCAAACTAAAATTTCATTTTTGAACTCATCCGATGGTGATTCAAATTTGTAGTTCATCCACTAACTTTTTGATGCACTCATTAAAAACATGCAAATGCATGAACTTCCGGGCCCTATTTATTACCTGTAAATTATATTACATTTTCATATTTGGATACTTGGTTAATATTGAACGCAACTGATCTATTGATATTGATCGTAACAAAACGCAAGCAATTATTAAAAATAACATTAAAAAATAAGCTCAAAAGGGTGGTTTGAACTCCCATAACCCCCTCCCCCTCGTGGATGCGCCACTGATATCGATAATAGTGAATAGCTTAACTTATTTAATGTCAAAACTGAGTATACACAGGTAAATTTAGTAGTTAATATTAAAATTAAATTATTTGTAATATTTTAATGTTTATTTTTAGTCGCGATTTAAATGTACCCAAATTATATTTATTCTTTGTTTGTTCCCCCTTAACTATGTCTTTTAGAGACCTACTAAAATAAAAACTAAAAAAAATAAATTAGAATACAACTATTACAATAATTCAAATGTACCTGGCCGGGTAATGCTGAGTGCCTGCTCATAAATGTTAATCTTCCTATCACTAACCATTATTAACTATAAAATTTACTTATTTTACTAGCTGCTGTATAGATTATGAATTATTTAAATAAATAAAAAAAAAATTATATCTTGAATTATATACAAACCTAATTTGAATAACTAGGACGATAATAACATATTTATTATAAAATGATTTATAAAATTTATAAATTTAGAATATTTAATATCCTTTTACTTATAATTTAAGAAAATTAAAAATTGAACTAAAATAATATATTTTATATTAATGTTAATTCTATTTGATACGTCAAACTTGCTATTTCATTAAAAACACTCATACAATAAGTAATAAACAAGATCAACTATGTCAAATTTAGGAAGTGCATAAATAAATGTAATGTTTGAAGTGCAGACCCCCTCTAAATTTACCTTTTCATATAAAAAAGCTAAGATTAAAGCCCTTCTCTCCTAAACTTAAAAAACCAAGAAATTTTTATTTTTTTTTTATAATTTAATTTAACAGAAAAAATGTCGATAAAATATTGATAACAAAAAATACCTAACAAACAGTTGCAAAATTATAAGACAATATTAAATAAAATAAGTTTTCAAAACATTAATAATAAGTACAATGACAGTAATAGTGGTTATTAAAAATTACTAAAATTTTTAAAAACATTTTATAGTTTCTAAACAATAGATATATAGTTAACTAATTATTAAGAAAATTTAAAGCATTAGTTTTGAAATAGAAATGTGTAATAGAAATAATATTGGCTAAAATAAGAGTTTTAGGGAGGAATGAATTTGTACAAGTATTTGTTTTATAAAACGGAATGTAAAATAAATTTAAATTACGAGGAATAAGGAAATTAATTAGGGAAAATATCTCAAAAATGCATATTTCCCATTACTTATCATTCATCGTTTTCACTTACTTGTAAATTGTAGAAATCTCGTCATTTTTTTCTTTTACGCCATTCATATTCACCTAAAACAAATATGTATAATATTATATTATGGTACATTAAGAAATTGTGAGGGCTTTAATATTTACAATAATAATATATGTATATTAAGTTAAAAAGCTATAAAGAAAAAATGCAAACTTTAGGTTAACAACAACAACAACAAAAAACATTTAATACACTGAAGTATAATTACATTGAATATTATTTTAGTAAATACACCAACACACTATACATATTCATTATATAAAAGCTATTAGGCATGTTTATGTAATAACATATATATTGTTGGTGATTAATGCTTTTGAACTGTTCAACTATTAGCTACTTTCTTTCTGAGTTCAACAAAATATTCTTTCCAACATGTACTCTAAAGATTTTGAACCATATAAGTATCCACTAAGTAGATATAATCGTAATAATTTTAACATTAAATATAAATCAAAATGGATCATAAAAAATAATGACTCTAATATGCATGTAAAACCAAAGACTAATAAAATGAAAAATAGTATTAAATGGAGAAGGATGTTAAATGATTATTCACAGAATTCTACTTTACATGGACTTAGATATGCTGGTGATAATAAACTTAGTGCAAGCGAAAGGTGAAATTAATTTTAAAATATTTCAATATTATTAATAATATTATTTTATTACTATTTTAAGGAGTTTTTGGATAATATCCTTTGGTTTAGCTGTTATAACAGCAATTTACTTTATAGCAAACTTGGTTCATAAATGGCAAGATATGCCCGTAATCATCAGTCTATCTCCAAAAGCAACTCAACTTACAAGCATACCATTTCCTGCGATAACAATATGCAATATGAACAATGCAAGAAAATCGGTCGCTCGAAATATTTTAGAAAAGTAATGTGTTACACAGTTATATACAAACATAGGAACAATTAATATTTATTAACTTTCATGAATTTCATATTTATATTCTTAGGAAGACCAGGATCTTTACAATACATTTTTTAATATTTATTTATTTATTATTAATATTTTAGGGTAATAAATCTGCACAAAAAGTTTTACATGAAAACCATACATTTTTAAAACTAAAAACAGTTAATGTTACTTTAGAATTTAGACTCAAGTTTTTCAAACATATTGATTAAGTAGTTACTAAAACATAATATCTAATAGTGAGAAGAACCTAACTAAATCCATGCACTTTTTTTTTTACCAAATAATTACCAAGATTACTCAAATCTATTGATATTCTTGGGTCTCCAAGTTTTAGAAATTGTTTAATTTTAATTAAGTTATTTATAAACTTTATTTATCAAAAATATTAATTTAGAAATAATGATGAATTTTCTTTAGCTAGTATTTCTAATATTTTTAATAACTATGTTTTGAAGAGCGATAGGCTGATCAAAGAATTTTTTACAAAGTTGTAATTACAATGATGTAGAGTCCTGTTCTATGTGATTATTTTTTAATTCATTAAAGTTTGAGTTTCTATACTAGTAGGATATTCTTCTTCACGTTCATTTATTTTTGACCAGCAATTATTATTTATAATTTATTACATTAATTTATTGCATAAATTATTAGACAGTAAATATTTTTATTTGAAAATAAAATTAAAAATTAAGAGCTCATATAAAAAACTATAACTTAAATAATTTTTATTTTATATTTATCACAGCTTTTGTAATTTTTTTGAAATTGTTTTCAAAATAAGCATGTAACATGAAATAAATACTGATTGATGTTTGGTAGGAAAAGTACAATACAATGGAGAATTATTAGTATTTCACTACTCACTTATGAAAAGAAACTGTATATTTAAATACTAACATATGGCTAAAATTACAAGAGATTATATTTATATAAGATAATATAGATATTAATTACTTATATATTTATTACATGCATTTATTATACTGATACTATATGCGTAGTAACAATATTAATAAAAGAAATAATAATGGAATTCATAAAAGGGTGTTTTACACTAAATTTATAAAACACTAATAATATTAAGTATATTTGTGTGTAGCTCTTCTAAACTCAAAGCAGATATTGATCGTCGTTTATTAAGTGATTTTTGTGATGAAGATACACAATCAATGGATTCTTCTATGGACAATTTCACTGGTGATTGGGATTCATTAAAAAAATTTATGATTAGAGTATCTCAGCCTTGTCATGAAATGATAATATCTTGTCTATGGGCAAATAACCCTAAAGATTGTTCAGAACTATTTAACCCTTCATTAACAGATGAAGGTATCTGTTGTTCTTTTAATAAAGTTAAGTCAGATTACATATTTCGGAACCCAAAAGATATATCTTATTTAAATGTTACCTTTCCAAATCCGTCTGCAAATTGGACCCCTGAAAACGGGTACCCACCAAATACACCAGCTGAATTTATACCTTGGAGACCCTGGGGTGCAGGTAATCATCTAGGATTAACTCTTGTTTTGGATGCTGAAATAGAGGAATATTACTGTTCATCAGAAGTCAGCTATGGATTTAAAGTAATATATACAAATAATAATCATCAAATATTAAAATTAGAAAATTGTGTTTTAGATAATGTTACATAGTCCAGTAGAAACTCCAAAAATATCATCATTTGGAAGTTTTGTATCTCCAGGTAGAGAGACCTCAATAGAAATTCACCCTACCGTAGGAATGGCTACACCAGCATTAGCTAATATAGAAAAAGAAAAACGTCAATGTGTATATTCAGCCGAAAAACAATTGAGGTTCTATAGAACTTATACTCAACGGAACTGTATAATGGAATGTGAAGCAAATTTCACTCTAATGTTTTGCCAATGTGCCATGTATTACATGCCAAGTACAATATATATTTTTTTAAGTTTTAAAATATTATTTATAATATATATTTATATATATTTATTATATTATTTGTTACATTCAATTTTTTAGAAGACAACTACTCTAGAATTTGTGGGAAAAAAGATGAAGAATGTTCCGATAAAGCTAAATGTAAATAACATTTTACTTATTTATTCTAAATTAATAATATACACATGTTTGTTAAATATATCTTACTCAGATAAAAATATTTATCAAGAAATGATAAAAATAACTTTATCATATACAATCTAATGAATTAGTAAATTGAAGTCTGTGTAATATAATACATAATATACATATATGTATCAAAAGGTTTTTTAATATGCCTAGCTGTCATTGTCAAAAGTTGGTACAATTTATTTTACAGGTACTTGAGATTTCTTTGCTTGCTTTTTATTTGCAAAAGCGTGGAAAAGCCTGACTCACAGAGATATGTCGATATAATTGGGATTAATGCTCGCAGAGCAAATAAAATTCTCGTTATATCATCAAAAATATATTCCCCCTTGGGAGGAATTCCCCCCGGTTGGGAACCACTGATATAGAGTATGACTTCGGAGGAAGATACCAAGAAGTTGAGGATATGAAGAGACCAATGATAATAATCGGTGATGTATAGGTGAATTTGAGAACTTTAAATATTTAAGATCAATTGAATAAAAATATAGGGACTTAAGCTTGGATTTAAAACAGGATTAAGTGCGGTTGGATGAAATGGTGATGAGCATCAGATGTTTTATGAGATAAGATAATCCAATGAGGCTAAAAACAGGAGTGTAGTGTGACTAAATATGGTATAGAGGGGGTGGCGAACCTATGGCAAGTTGACCAAATTTTAATAGCACATCATTCTATTATTTTGATAATCAAAAAATAATAATTGAATGATTTTAAATAATCGAGTCATTCGATTATTCCCATCACTAGAAAATAGACGGAGATGAATTGGACATGTAATGAGGCAAGAGGAAACAAAAGCAGTAAGAGTGATTATGAAAATGAAGACAAAAGAGGAAGAGGAAGACCAAAAAAAAAGATGGTTGGATACAATTGATGGTGTGTGTGTGTGTGTGTAGGTTAAGTGATATAAAAAATTGAGATGTGTGGAGGTTTATTACTAGGGTGGCTGACCCCAAATAGTTGGAGAAAGGCTAAGGAGAAGAAGAACTATAAAATATGCAATATTAAAACATTTTACAAGTTGCCTTATCTTTGATTATTATTTTATTTCTTAATATTACTTTTTAAAAATAGATGTGATGATTAATAATTACTTAATTTGTATTAACTTAAAACAAATAAATACAAATAAAATAAAAATTTGTAAATTATTAATACATGTAAATTAATAAATAAAAAATAAATGCTTAACTGGAGTAAAAATGAATCGTCAAATATACAAAGTCAATAAAATTTTAAATATTTAATTTTACAATTTTATAATTTTATTGACTTCATACAAACTTAATGATACATTTTTATCCCAGCATTTTTTTTTTTTATAAATAAATAAACTATTTATTTAAAAATAAAGGATGTAGCAATTTAATAATACTGAATAGAACAGGCTTTTAAAAAGTATTATAATATTTATAGTAGTTCTACAAATAGTATTAGTAGACAGAATAGTTAGAGAAAAACAATTTCAAAATAATGTATAACTCATAAAAAATAAAACTATTTTCATTTTTACATTAGATTAAGTTAAACAAACATAGGTATATCACCTTATTTTTATATTCTATGATTTAATTATTAATTATTAAATTTTAATACATGCAAATGTATGTTTATATTTAAGTGGCAATGGAACTACGTTATAGTTCAGCCTTAATGAATATGAATAAATTATTAAATGGGACACATTTACCAAATTGTACTTGCTTACCGGGGTGCCATTGGATTGGATACAATAAAGTGCAATCATCTTCTCCATTGGCAAACAGTTATAAAATTAAACAAACATTTCTAGTTGGCAGAAATTCTGCATATTTCAAGTGAGTTTACATTCTTTTATTTTTATTAAATAAATAAATACCACTTAATGTACAAAATTCACTCAATTAATATTAAAATTGATTATGTACATTTGAAACTGCAAAAGTTATAATTAATTATCTCAAGAATTAAATGATTCTGAGTGAATGCTAATATAAAAAAAAAGAAGATATATTTGTTATCTTTAGTACCTTGTACAAGTATGAATAATCAATAATTGCAGACATTACAATGTTATACATGACATCAGGACTAAATATTTTTGTAAAAAACACATTGAACTTAAATATTTTTTACTGTTGACAATAATGTGAGACTAAGGGGGAAACCCCATAGTTCATTTTAAGTCCTTTAAAATTTTTTGTAAAATATTCATATGCTATATACAGTCAAATTATAACAAATTTCAATGGAACAAGAAAAAATTATTGTTAAATTGATATTCATTATAACAAGAGCATAAACCAACCAAATTCATTATAGAGAAATTCAATGAAATATAAATTCATATTTTACAGTATTATATTAATTATAATACATTCTAATATAAAAATATTATTATATCATTTATAATACAGTAGTATAGTAATTTTATTTTGACTGTCAACTTCGTGAGTTTCGTTTTAAAAATTCCACACCTTCACTAACAGTTGTGTTTGTGCAAACACGTCATTATAAACTTTAAGATTAATCATTGTAGTATTAAATATGGTTACTTTTGGGATTTCGAAATTATTCAGGGTGGTCAAAAATTCAGAAATACTTTTTCTAATATGGAACTTTAAAGAATTTTGTTATGCCTTAGTCCAAAAGTTGGAGTTTTGAGGTCATGTTTACCAAAAAAAATTAAATTCATAAGTTGGTCCAGAAGGAGGAGGTTGTATGGTCATTGAAATTATCAACGAATAAAATAATTTTTCTGCGTTTTTTTTGCATGTCATGATTGAAGGTTTCGAATTATTTGTCCTACAATTTAGTAATCATCTACGATTATTTGTTGCTTATAAACGACAATGGAAAAGATTTAATATGTTCAATGCATCTAGGTATAGTGTATTTACTTATCTATAAAGGGTCGTAACTCCTCTGAATCATTTATTTTTCTGGCAAAAATTAGTTATTTGCTCCTTACGTAGTTAGTATTATACTATAAACTAACCAGCGAGAGGGTGAGGCAGGGAGGGCCAGAGCCCCGGGGCCCGTACGTCCGAGAGGGCCCGACGTCGTCTTAGCCTTTTATACAATATTTTTATTGAACTAAAATATGTACAAGTAGTATATATATCTTAGTCAAACAAGTACAAGTAAAGAATGCCCCGGGAACCTCAAAAGCTCTTAACTAACATTATCTCAAAAAAAAAAACGATTCTGAGTGATAAAGATAGGATGAATCGGTTTATAATTCTGAATATGATCGATAGTATAAAACATGGGATCCAGAGTTTTACATTTGAGTGTGCCATGTCATTTTTTGGAAGTTATTTTTTTTACATAAAAAGTCCCCTTATAAACCCTATAAGTCTCTCTATAAACAAAATCAAATTGTTATTGAACACAAAGTTAACGATAAAAATACAATTTTACCTAGTGTCTGTGAGTTGCTTGATTAACATCACGTTAAATGAAATCAGAATTACCAAAATTATTATTTTGTTAGTTTATGAATTACTAAGCAAAAAATGTAGCGTATTTTCATCGTGTTGTAGAAATTTAATATTTAAACTATGAAAAATTGATATGTATGAGGGACTTTGTATTATATATTCAAAACATTTTGTCAAACGAAAATTATTCTATTGACATTTTAGAAGAAAAAATCTTTTGATTATTATAGTATCTATAAAAAATGGTAATACGTATATAAGCATTCAGTGAAAATTTCAATTCTCCGCTATTATTTTTTAGTTATGATTAAAACAAAAAATTTTTATGACTTGTAAAATCAGCCCCTCAAAATAGTACAAACTAAACAATACATTTTATCAAAAATATCTCATAGAATTGTAATGATTAAAAAAATCCTCCAAGTTGAAAACGAATACACAGACAAAAAAAAACACATATAACATGGTAAAACCAATATATTCTTCATCTCATTTTGAATCTAAAATATATATATTAATATTACAATGTGTATATCGCAACCGGGTGCCTATAGACATAAGTTAAAATTGGTATTTTTCAGGAAAGGGAATTCCAAATTTACACATAACTCAATGTTTAAATTAAAAATTAACCTTTTGTTCAATTACTTTTTAAGTTGTACTAAATCTTATTATTTTTTTTAACTATAATATAGAAATTAATATAATTAAAAATTTCTAAAACACAGATATTTAAAAAAAATAATTTGAGTTGAGTGAGTTTATATAATTTGTTTAGGAAATAAAATACGACTTGTGTCCAGAGTTGGGCAAATAAAAAATTATCCATCGATTTTAATAAAAATGTATTCTTTATTCATTTTTCATTTGATTATTCTAGATTATTTTCATTCGTAATTTAAATTTTAACAATTATTCGTTTATTCATTATTCTTCACAGTGCCGTAGCAACCAAACGTTGCACCCGGGGCGAAACTTCAAAATGCACTCTTATCTATTTTTAATTTAAAAATATTATGCTTATTAGATATTATTTTCAATGATTGCTTAAATTAATATGAAGAATGTTAAATATTTTGTAATTAAAATATACGACATTGACCGTTGTAATTAACATTAAATGCAAAATTTTAATTTTTGCGTTCTCTCAGGAATTGCGCCCGGGGCGTAGGCATCTCTCGCCACCCCCTTGCTACGGCTCTGATTCGTCATAGTCATCTTTATCTCAAATTATAAAATTATTATTAATAATTAATTTAAAATTCTAACTTTATTGTAAATTGAAATTGGTTTGTTCAGTGTCGATCTGATTCATGATTGGGCCTCCGTCAAACAATTTACAATGGGCTCCTAAACGACATAATATTGAAGTGAGATTCAATAAATACCTACTAAAAATGTTTTTTCTCGCTACCCTTTTATTTAAATTTATTTTTGTTTTTTATATTTTTCCAAAGTCAATGTTATATATAAATTGCGTTCGTGTATGTGACCGTTAACAACACTCATCTTAATTTTTCAAAATATTTATATATTTTCGATTTTGATCTAGAGCAGTGGTGCCCAACCCACGGCTCGCGGGCTACATGTGGCCCGCGAAGGTATTCTATGTGGCCCATTACGAATTTTCTAAAATAAAAAAAATTTTTTAATTAATTATTTTCATATATTATTTTTATTTAAATTATTCCAAAAAATACAATTATGTATACCTCAATTCATAATCTTTTCAATAGACAGTAAAAGATAAGAAAACAAGTCCAATATATAAGATTATTTTAGTACTTTTTTACTTCATGGCCCGCTTGAAGATAATTGTTTACCCAAGTGGCCCGTCAAAGGAAAAAGGTTGGGCATCACTGATCTAGAGCAGCGGTTCCCAAACTTTTACAATCACGGAACCCTTAAAAAAAATAGTTTGTGTTTCGCGGAACCCTAATGCCTTTCTAATTCCAATTCAACTCTTATTTTTCTAAAAAAAAAAAAAACTAATAATCTAAAAAATGTTTTTAATGATACCGTTAATATTGTTAATGATCATTTTTTATTAAAATTAGTTTAAAACACAATTTTTTTTAAATATTATAAAATAATATTTTTTCCGAGTATAATATAAAATAAGTTTCTCGATAATTATATGCATCCGGCGGAACCCTTAGCATTGTCCCATGAAACCCTAAGGTTCCGCGGAACACACTTTGGGAAACGCTGATCTAGAGAACAAAAATGTATAAGCTATCCATAGCGGTTATACCTAGATCTATTAAATCTAATCAACAATATTTCAAGATTAAGATAAGAATAATTTCATTTTAATTTATTCAAGAAAATAATTACTACGATTTTTCATGTAAGCGTCATTGCTTTGAGCACAGGGGCGGATTTAGGAGAGATTTAGGAAATCAACTGATCCACAATTAATATTTGTTGACAAAATTGTCCACTGAAGACTTCTTATATTTTTTAAATGTGCTAATTATTAGTTGAAGTTAAAATCAAACTGGCAAATGCCTCAGTCCCTCCCCCCAAATGACGCCACTGGTTTAATTGTATAGTAAAATAAATATCTTCATGTCAGACCCCACGTAAAATTCCATAAAATAAGATAAATTTTTACAATTATAATTATAAATAAACTTAAAAAACAAATATTATATGATTAGATTTTTTTTTCGTTACAAGGAATACACTTATAATCTACTTTCAGCTCTAATAAGTGGCTTTTTGAAATAGCCAGACCCATAGTTCTTTAACTATCTAGATCCGTCCGAGTTAAACCTATATTTTAAGAATAAATCTCAAAGCGCCCGACTATTACCAGGTATCCGGGTGGGCCAGATCAACACTGGGTGCGTTTATTTTTTATTATTATATTTTCTGCTATAGAAAATGTCAAAACCAAAAATTATAAATAATATTTTTATCTATGAGAGGGGCTAATTAATCTAACTAGTTTAGCACTCGATATCTACATGTTATTTACCCGCACATAAGGTTTTACTGCTTTAGTAACATTTTTGTAATTAATTTAAAATAAAGTCTAACTTGATGCAGCCATATTATAGGCGCTGAAGTTTTATTTAGTATAGTATTTACAATATTTTTTTTTGTTGTGATTATTATTATTATTATTTACTTTGTTATGTATATCATATTTTTATCATAATTGCATATTATTCAGAATAATTTTTATTTTTTATTCGCAACTAAAACTATTTAAAATAAAATATTATTTTTTATTCATGAAATAATTAGTTATTCATGCTTTTGTTTTTTATTCATAATTTTGATTAGTTTTTGTCCAACTCTGCTTGAGTCAAACAATAATATTTATATGCCATTTTCACGTCAAAGAATCTCCATAAAATATTACAAAAAAAAAATACTACAAAAAAATGAATATCACTCCGACGGTCTGATACGACGATTTCCAACGAACAATCAAAACTAACCGCCGTAATAATGAAATTGGAAAAACGCGTTGCAATATAATGACAAAATTAAATAATTTTGAAAAGGTTAATGAAAAACCTATAATAAACAAGGTACAATAAATTCAAGTTATCTACCTACTCAGTGCCGGCCCGATGGTTTTCGAGGGCATCGCCCATATGCGCCAATATAAAAAAGGTATGTTTTTACAGACAGCTAATTTGCGCCAAATTTACCTATGTAAACATTTTAAATTAACGACTCAGTTAATTCTTATATTTTAAAGACGTCGTATCTATAACGTATAATAAAGTTATTTTTATAAGTTTATAGATTTTAAAGCTTTGTATATTATTGCGTCAAAAAATAAACTAACAAATTTTATATCGGTTTTATTATGATGTACGATATTATCGTACTTCGTTATCGGATATATAGGTATCGTTATTCGTCAAAAGAACGATCGCAGTGTGATTTCATCAGATATTTGTTACGTTACACTAAATACTATTCTCGAATTTATTAATTATTTGAATTATAAATCGTAAGAATAGAGTTCACGACAAGCACAAGAGGAAAGAAAATTGTTGTTGAAAATGGCTATAAGTATATTTTGGCGTATACATCTTCTAAGAATGTTGAACATGAATATTTAATTGATTATTATTTGAGAAAAAAATATATTACTTTATTATAATTATACCAGGTAAATTTGGCGCGAATGGGCTGTCTGAAAAAACATACTTTTTTTTATTTTGGCACAAATGGGTAACAGCCGTTTTCGAGGCCCTGCGAGTTTCACGGAGCCCCTCTATAAAATTAATTTATTATTTATATAAATCTATATATATTTTTTTTTTTTATATAATAAATATATACTAAACCATATTATGAACCATTATCGACGATAAATAATTTTACAAGTACACTAGTCACTAGTGTATAATACTGTTTAGCTATGTATAATTGGTACCGTCTTAATTTTCATCGATTTCGACATTTGATAATTAATAATGTTTATCAGAAAAATATAATAATAATTATTTTCCATATGTTTATTATACGATAAAATGATTTAAAAAACGGGTGAGACTTATGTCATATAAGCTTGAAACCAATGTACCATTCTTCTCAGAACAACTACTCTGAGTGAATTAGTTTACATTTCTAATGATGATTGTTATATTATATTATATTATAACTAAATTTATTTTTAAGATAGCTTAAACTTTAAATGTTCTTTCTTTTATATAAAAAAAGTATCACCAAAGCAAGAAAATTGTAAATGAAAATTTTTATTACAGTTTCAAATTTTTTAGAGGGACCAAAATTATAAGATTAACATTTTACGAAAAAAAGTTAGGAAAACGTAAAAATATCAAGTAAATAGTACAATGAATTTTTTTTTTAATAATACAATCTTAAAAAAACGTGAACATTTCAACTATCTAAGATTATAATTTTTTAACTACGGACTTTACAAAATTATATTTCATCTAAAACTAGTATCCCATAAATGTTGCCTTTTATTTTATAATTATTTAGAAAACTGTAAAGAAATCAATCATTCTTCCTTTTGATGATCGGAGCATAAGCAAGCCTCCTGGTAGAAATTATGTAGACACGTACAAAAATAATATATTAAAATATAACCATTGAAACCAATTTCTTTTCACTTAGAATCTAAAAATGATAAATTAATGTTATAATATATTAATCTAAATTTATTTAATGACACCAAAAAAAAGATTTTTGACTTCACATTTATTGAATATGTTTGTAATGCTTATTATCTTAATGCATATCAATACTTTCTGGCTTCCAATTTCCAACATAAATTTATGACTAACCACACAGAGTTTTTTAAGTCCAAAACAAGAGGGCATTTAATAACACAATTTACAGTTAAAAACACAATTAATATTTAGTTAAATATAAACAAATACAAATCATACACTAAAAATAATAAAGATAGTTAAATTTTATCAACATAATTAGATGGATTATAAAACTGTAAATTTTATATATTAGCCAAATGTTGACACTATCCAATTAAAAAAATTACATAATATTACATAATATATGACTTCATTTTTAATTTAGAAAAAATATGGCAGTGATTCATTTTTTCTTTGAAGAAACACAGTTTACTGGATTTACCAAAGGAGAGTTGTTCGGATTCACTGAATTTTTATGTAAGTACAATATATGTAGTATATATTATAAACATACTAATAAATAATTTTAATGAAAATACAGTAGAACCTCTATTAACCGTTCTCATTATTTTCGAAAATTTGTATGTATCAAAAGTAAAGGCAAAGGCAAGTAGTATATTGTATGAAGGTTAAAGATAATTTTATTTATCATGGTTAAAAATGAAAAAAATTGATTTAATAAACAATGTGTGGACCCCAGTGTAGACTATATTCTAGATTTATGGAAGCAATTAATATCATCCTGTGCTTCTGTGAGCAGGAATATTTTGAATTCCATGATGTCATAAATTCTAAGTGAAGTGAGAAAAATCATTTCATACTGCAAAAAACAAAGACTGATTATTTTAAATTTATAGCTCTAATAATTTTAAAACATGGCAATATGTATTTATACAACATAGTTGAAATAAAATATGATAGTAAATAAAAAATCAAAATAAATTTTTTTTAAATAAAAAGTCTTGAATAACCGTGGTTTTCATTGATCTATATGACTCCTCCCAACCATTACCCCAGATAATCGATGTTCTACTGTAATACTTTTAAAATTTTAACTGAAGAAATTGAACCAAAATATACTTGTTTCTAAAAAAATTGGAACTTCACAAACTTTTATTTGTTAAAATAATTAAATATCTTGAGTTATTTTAATGATCTTTGTTTTTGTTTCAGCTAACACAGGAGGACTTTTAGGTTTATTCATGGGTTTTAGTTTCCTCAGTGCAATTGAAGTAATATATTTCATTTCATTGCGTTTATGGTGTGCAATGTCCAAAAAAAAAAAAAAATAACAGATGGACCAAATCATCAAAACTAAGAATATTCTCTTCTTATTATTTTTACTTTTTTGGACAGTTTAAATTATTATTATCACAACCTTTTTTTATCCCTATCACTTATATTCAGTCATCTAATTATCTTCGTTGTTTTACTTCATTAAATTATATTTAATTACACAAATAACTTATCGAGTAACTTATAATTAAACCATAACTCCTAAACTAATCTACGTTTGGAAATTATTCTTCACTGACTTCGTAAATAAAAAATGTAATAAGTGGAATATAGTTTAACCATTTTTTATTGAAATTTCATTTAAAAAATTGTAGTTATTAAATATTATAAAGATTTAAAATATTAGAAAATAATGAAAAATACTACTCTATTCAGGAAATTTAAGATTAAGTTAGGATAACTTGAAATAAAATTGTATTAACATTTAAGGCATAAGTATATTTTCTAGTTTTTTAAAAAAATTTATTAAAATATTATAGCAATATTTTCTATTTTTTTTTTTTTAAATAATAATTTAACCTATACTAAGATTAATAATTTTAAACGAGTATGAATACAAAATATTTTATGTCTGGGTAGATAACTTCTCAATTAGGTACTTCTTTTGTTTTAATATTTTTTCTTTTTTTTTTTTTTATCAACATCCAAATCACAGGACAATAACTTTAGTTAATATACAAGGAACCTAGATAAATTTATGAATCAATAGCGTGTTACACACATTTTATACATAATTATAATTACCTACATATTTTGATATAACCAAAATATCAAGTAATGTCTAATTTAATTCAATATACAAACATAGTACATCAAATATTTATTAGGTTAAAGGTTGCCACTAGTGCTTTCAGTAATATTCACTGAAATATTTAATTTTAATAATATTTACAAATTTAAAGCGTTTAGGAATACATTGTAAACCCATTTCAAGGTTCCAAGTAAGACTAATTACTTAGTTGCCACCAATCATAACAAATATTAAGAATGTATCACAGTACAGTAATTAGATAGAAAAAAAAAATATATCTGATTACTAGGGCTAGGGAATTCATGCCCATAAAAACCTTAAAATATGTATGCATTTATGCCCTAAAGAATCAATAAATATGCTATTAAAATATGCATTTCAAAAAATGATATTTGTAATAGATAATTAATTAAAACAATTTAATTAATAATAAATAATAATAATATTTTTACATATGACAGATATGATAATCTGAGAATAATTTTATTTTTTTCAGATTTGTTTTCATCTTATATTGAGTTTTTGTCTACAACAAATTTAAAATTGTTTTAAAAATAAATGTAATTAAAACATTTTTTCTATTTTTATTATAGTACTAATTACCTTGAGCATTACATTGGACTATAAGATATTTTCTTAAGTTAGAAAATTTAAATGACCGCTTGCTATCAGCCAAAATACTTTTATACTTAGAAAAGGAACGTTCTACGTTTACAGAATTGATTGGTGCAAACTTAAAAAGTGGATAGTAACTACTACTAATATCTGCAGGGGCAATCATTCCATAGATTCATTTTTTCCATTTAAAATTTTGATATTTTTTGTAGTTGATAAAATCCAACCTTTTTCTTCAAAACTTTTTCAATTTTGTCATCAATGGCCTTAGCATGTGCAGATCCTTCAATTTTTGTAGAATGTATATTTTCTTTTGTAGTTTTAATTATTTTAATGGATTCAATTAGTGCCATACCTTGGATTTCAAACCAAGTGATGGATGAAGAAATAAATCCTTAATTTTTTTATAAAATTAAAAAACTTACTCCTTTGTATAAATAATTGTCAAATATGCACTTATAAATGAAAAACGGTCAAATATGCAAAATATGCAACTATAAATTTAAAATATGAACTTGTATTGCTATGAAATAAATTTCTATATTACTTAGCTATGTTTTTGATGATTATTTAAAAACATGCAAACTCTTAGAAGTCCCGAGCCCTACTTATTACTTACTAGTATGTTACCTATATTATTTTTAAAATTCTTTACCATTGACTAATGTATGTATATATATATATACAAAAATTACATATGAACCTAATCATCATAACTATGGAATCTTCTTTTTTTATTACTTTTACCTTATTGGACAGTTTAAATTATTATTATCACAACTTATTTCTATCCCTATCACTTATATTCACTCACCTAATTCTCTTAGCTGTTTTACTTCATTAAATGATATTTAATTATACAAATAACTTATAATTAAACCATAACTTTTAAACTAATCTACACTTGGAAATTATTTTTCACAGGCATTTAAAAATAAAAAATGTATTAAGTGGCATACATTTTAATCATTTTTTATTGACAGCTCAGTTAAAAAATTGTTATTATTAAATATTGTTAAGATTTAAATTATTAGAAAATAATGAAAAATACTACTCTAATAAGGAAATTTAAAATCAAGTAGTATGTAAACATATAAAATATATACCTATAGGTATATATAATATATATGTTTTACACTCATATAAATTACTTGAATGATTATTTGTATCGTTAGCATTAAATATTTTCAATATCAGACATCCTTATTTATAAAAATAAAAACTTTTGTAAAATTATGTTATATTGCAACATTATTGTTAAAATTTATCATTTAATATTATATAAAAAAAAAAAAATTAAAAACCATTATCCTTACAACCACTGATCCCATTATAAACCCCAAGGCAAAATTCTAACGAACCTTACCATGCCCACCACAGGCATAGGAGCAGCTAGGGTACAAAATCTGGGGTAGCTACAGCCCTCCTACCAAAACTTAAAATAACCTATAGATTACCCCAACTTTTATATACCATATTAATATATTTTAGATTCTGAGTTGGATTTACTGCAATGTGTTTTTTTTGTATGTGACACTATTGTGGGTTAAGTATAATGCATGCAATATGCCATGTATAACATGGAATATTTATGAGAGAGTTAAATCTTGGTTCGAGGGGACTAAGCCCCCCTAGTTGCGCCTATGACCACAGGAATAATTAAGAATGTCTGATCGATGGATGTTCTACGTTGATAAGTACGCAATAAGTAATTTAATGTTAAAATATTGTACAATCATAATCTTACTTGGTAATTTAATGAATTTCGTCAAATATTAAAATCAACACGGGTACAGGCACAGCGTTACGACTTTACGAGCATCATTAAACACGAATGATTACATTAACCACAGTCAATTATTGATGAGTAATTAAAAGATTAGCGTTGACATTGCGTATCCCAGACAATGATCACATGCACGAACGAGACGTCTGGAGGAGAAAGTGACGAAGGGACACTGGGGTCTACTGACTGAACGCTACGGAAACGAGCACCAAATCGTATGGAATCAAAAACCCATCTGATAATGCTTATCTGGGTCGTCGACCCGCCGCTGAGCACTTGCTCGGATAAAGATGTTTGGGCGGGTGCAGCACCAATTTTTTTTTTGAAGTGGAGATGGCGCTCGGCGCTCAACGGATCGATCAGCAAAGCGTAACGAACATAGGATATGCAGCGAGAGAACGCAACTGGACAGCAACCAGAACCCATCAATTTCTGCGCATTCCCACCATTTAACAGGCAGATCGTCGACCATCGTACGCGGTCGTCATTGCCGACGCCGCCGCCGCCGCCTCAACGACTCGCAGTTATCGCGTGGCGGGGGAATTATACATGCGCGAACGAGTTGTGTCCTCTTACTTGAAGAAGTGTAGCGATGCTCAGTTGGTAGCGGTGTTGTGCCGTTGCCACGGTTACGAATCCGACTGAGAAACGACCCACTGTGCTCACGCCCGGTATTGGTTGGGCTGGAGCGTCAAAAGTTACGGGTACGTGCTGATACTGACAATCGGTGCTCATTGCTCATTAATGCGACACAACATGAATGCGTAACATTCAGTTATCTGTTCTACGTTGACTTAATACATGCCTTCATTGATCGCAGTCACAACCATATTATACTGATGGTATTATAATAGAGAAGTCACGTTACGTACAGTTTTGGAATAATGTAGTTTTGCTCTTTCGGTTTCACGACTTGTCCACTTACATAACTTTTTTTTTTTTTTTTGTATTTGAGTATACCCGTCTTTTTTTCTTGCATCAATGGTACAAATTATTTAAATACCGATATTTTGGAAAATGTGTACTAAAAAAACTTTTCTTTTAGTATTTTTTATATTCATTTGAATTGTAGCAATATCAATATTTTTTTTTATGTTATGTAGTCAACATTTGAAGCAATTTAAATGTTAACTACTTGTAATTTTGAGAACCACTGAAAACTGTTATAAACTAATAGGTTACGTATAAATAATAAGTTACTATATTAGTCATAGTAAGCAGTGACAGTGTTGGTGCATAAATAGAACCGCCGTAGAACAAATATGTCAAGCACGTTAGATCAATGGCATTTTTGCGCCAATGACTTCAAATGTACCTTATATTTGCACAAACATTTCCATCAATTATCAAATCTAAGCCACGTCCACACCAAGGAAACATTGTCACATACATTAACAGATACAAATTTTTAAAATGTATCTAATAATGTTGGCAATAAAGTTGGTAAAAGCACACGTCCAAATCAAAAATATCAAACAAAATACATTTAGTCTAATATGTCCGAAATTAAAAAAGTGTCATATTTTTTCACTGATTTCGTTCGAAATAAATGTTTCATATTATGCACGTTGTTCTGACCTTTATCATTAAATATGATTTAAATTAATATTTTATCAAACATACTGAATTTTGGTAGTTTATTGTTCGGATATTTATAGAACACACGCAAATGGATAATAATAACTATTTAATCTATAGTAATAATATTTAACCAATAAATATAATCGGAAATTTGTAAGATTCCGTAACCAAACCGTGTTTTCATCACGACGATCGTGGCGTTAATTTCTCTGAGATTGTCTTTTGTCAGGACCGGTGTTAGGATGAGGTGAAACGGGGCATTTTTTCCAGGGTTTCGCGCTTAAAATTTTCTTTGAAAAATATTTTTTACGAAAATATCAAAATAAAACGTGAAATATGTGGATTACGTCTGGTGATTATGATTTCTAGAGAAATCCGTTGGCGTGTAATAAAAAACCAATAAACAAAACAACAATATTATGTCATGTGTGCACTAACGACGACCCGTACAGCATGCCGCACATTATGAAAACCGGGATACATCGGAAATGTATTTCAGGGCATTTCTTAAATTTAATCAGTCATTATCCGATATCGCATGCAGCTGTCACCGAGTCTGATTACATGTTATCGTCTTTAATTGTGGCCTACAGCTAATGTGACTATTATTATGGATAAAATAAGTTTTGCCCAGGGCCTCGCAAAAGGTAACGCCAGCCCTATCCTTTGTATTAAATTGTTCATCAGTTACTGATAAATATACATCTGTTGTATATTTATAGCATTGATTAAATATTTATATTTATTTATATTTAATATTTAATCAATGGTTCTAGGCAGGGCCGGATTTAAGGGATGGCTGAGTGGGTTGCAGTCCAGAGGCCCCCAAAATTTTATATATAAATTAGGATACAAAAATCAATTTAAAGACATTTTTCTTTAAATTAAATACTGTATGACTTTTTTTTTATCTTTAAATTAATGCACATAATTTTCATTAATTTAATCTCTGAGTAATTAAATTTATGGATTACAGAATTATAATTAATGAAATAAAACATTGGTTTAATGAAATTTATTTAGCTTTAATATAATATTATATTATGCTATATTTCTATGAATCGATATCATAGGCTCCAAATCATACCCGTTTTTCCTTAGTATTATATACCTTTTTCATTGATATTAGTAAATATTTTTCTGAGTGTATAATTAATATTATTAATTATAGTTTTATTTTTTTAATACAACCAATCAATTACAACATAATAATCAACAATTTATTAATTCGCCTGAAATTTAAATTATTTTAAAAAGTTTTTATAGCATTTGCATGTCACAGTTTGTTATAATTTTATCAATATTGAGTTCTTGTATTCGTTTGTTTTCTATATTCAAAATGCTTATATTTTTCAATCAATCTTGAGATAAGGAATTACGAAGATAATTTTTTATTAATTTATGCTTAGAATAGCCGCGTTCTGCAGACGCAACAGTTATTGGTAATGTTAAAAATAAAAGACATGCAGTTAATACATCTGAATAGCTTGAAGATAAATTCATTTCAATAATAAATATACAAAAATCATTTATATTTTTAAGGTTTTGAGATAAAATGATTGTTTTTAAGCGTACAACTTGCCGCGTGAAATCTACAGTAACGTCGCCATTAGTAATAACAGGTTGGGTCCTTGCGAAAATGACTAATATTACACAAACTATGTTGTTATACTTTATAATATTATTTACGTAGTTCATATAATTTGTACGCCAATTAAGTCGAGGCCCTCAATAAGTGACTACAATCGATAATAGCAACATTACAGACAACAAAACTATAAATAGGTACAAAACTTCTAAATTGACTACTAAATACGTAAATTGAGTACCAGGTACTATTGAAACGTATATTATATATCGTGTATATCGTATATTTATATATGTATATTGTATATCGATGAATTAGTATATAGACTATTCAAAAATTGTTCAAATTTATATATAATATATTATTACACTATTACTATTTACACTTCATTGTACAATATTAATCTTTTTCATGTTTCGCTCATTTATATTTTACAACCTTTAATGACTTGACAATGCTATGTCAATGCATTTTAATATTTGGTTTTAGAGTGCAAAAATAGTAACCAGTATGTATAGTCAGGGACGGCGCTAGGGTAGGGCAAATGGGACATTTTCCAAGGCCTCGCACTTTTGAGAATATTATCAAGGCCTTGCGTTTGACTCCAATAAAGACATTTAAAAGTAAATTTGTAATACAAAAAATATAGTAAATAAATTGGCTTCAGAAATAGATATCCCGGTTATTTTTAAGCGTTGTCGTATAAGAAAGGATAAAATATGTTTTGTTATGAACATAACGATAAACCAATTTTAAATGAGGTAGATCGCTTTCATATTGATTATTTTCTAGTTGTTGTATCGATCAATAGAATCTATTAATAAACGTTTTGAACAGTTGGAATCATATTCGAATAATTTTTGTATCAAATAGGTAAAGTAAAAATTATGGAAGAGGATGAACTACAAAAATATTGTAAATATTTACACTTAGTATTATCCGATGGTGATCTGAATGATTTGGAAGGACTTGACTTATATTCAGAACTACTTATTTTTCGTATGATGATTGATGACAATGCAACTCCACTTAAAGCTCTAAGTATTTTAAAAAAGACGAATGATTCATTTCCTAGCATATCTATTGCTTTAACAATCATGTTAAACAAACGTGAGATGAGCGAGGATGTGATTTTTCGGCTGCATCCGAATTGGGTCCCTAATTATTTTAGGTACACTCAGAAAAATATCTTTCAATGTTTTAATGAAATGGAATCATTATTTTGAAGTTCAACGATTTACCTAGAATTAATACTGAATTATATTAAATTAATAAAATTTTCTTTAAAATAAATACATATTCAATACATATCCATAATTTAAAGATGACTAAATCAAATTAACAAAAAAAAAAATGTTTGAAATAATGAAGTCTATAGATTCGTTTCAAGCATACATCCTACTTAAATGTAAAAAGAATATAATTAATTTAAAGAATAGTTTGATAGGTTTAAATACCTCTAAGGCCCTATGTTTTAATGATAATAAAACATTATTTCTAATAAATGTTTTATTCTAGATTAATACTAAATTTATGTAAAATAATGATTTTTTCTTTCAACCAATAACCAAATATATCTTTAGTTTAATTAAATGAGTATTTATTTGTGAGCACTAGATTTGTCTTAAAATCAATACAATTACGTCTAGTGATGGGAACAATCGAGAAAAAATAATCTCATCGAATGTGTTCAATCCAATGTGTATCTTTTTTCTTTAAATATACATACAATTTCTCAAGTAACGTATTAAAACAATATTCAGACATTCTGAAATATTGATAAAATTTAGTTCCATCTTCAATCAGTTCCTTATAAAGTGTCAAAAACTCTCCTTCACTGTCTCTTTTTTTTGCCATGCCTCATGCACCCATTTTCGTCTC